AAGAAGTAAGGAAATCATAAACAACACTTATRTAGCACGGACTTATTTGATGTGCAAATTTGTTGTTGGCTTGGAGTCCCTGTGTAACATTGATGTAGGAAATTGTAATCAAGGGAAGTGCGCATGCTTGCCAGTTTAAAACAAAAAGAAAATAAAACYAGCAGCTGTGCATCWGTACCGTTRGTTTTGCTTGACGTTCTTTCATTCCTTTTTTTTCTTTTTCTTTTTTTTCTTTTCTTTTTTCTTTTGTTTTCTAATTGGTCAGCGGTCATTCCCTTTGTTCTATAATTTCATTGGCTTATTTAGATCACGTGCTTTGTCATTTGGCGGGGAATACGCACGCCATACTCTTTCTGAGTGCATTCAAAAGTTTGGCTAAATAGTCATACATTTTATCTGGCCAAAACATGTCAGGTTCTCCAAAGGAAAACGGTAGGATATTGAAGGATCTTTATTTTTGGTGTTTGCATTAAGCTTGTTTCTAATCGTGTCAAATTGTTTGACACAGAACCCTTTGATGATGCTGTGGAAGAGAGAATTATCAATGAAGAATACAAAATTTGGAAGAAGAACACCCCGTTCTTGTATGATCTAGTGATGACCCATGCTTTAGAATGGCCAAGTCTCACAGTACAGTGGCTACCTGATGTAACAAAGTAAGATTCACTAGTCTCTACTAAGACATCATARTAAAAGTTTAGCTTATATGACTTATTGTCAGTTTGATTGTCATTCGGTACATAGTACATCTCACAACAAAGTGACAGTCTGCACGTGTTGATCGTTGCTTGAAGAAAAAATTAAGGTTATTGGAAGAAATGCTGTGCTTCTAATTGTTATAATATATTTTTAGCTTGGAACACGAGACAATGAGTTAAGAGTTAAGATTCAAATTGTATTTACAGTATTACTTATAAAATCTCTTTAAACGTCCGTGGTTAACTCCAGCCGATTTTTTGTGAGGGGTGAGACACGGATGTACACAGGCTATTTTCAGACAATTATTTTGATCTGTAGATTTCAAAACATTATAGATGCCCCAAATATGGAATATGGAGTTGTCAATCATACTATTCTAGATTCGTATTCCCSTGATGACCATGGTCTGGCAAATTTGAAACAGTTTTTGAAAACTTTAGTTTTCCAGGAATAYAAATAGTGCAGCGCGGATATTACGTCACAGATTGAAATGGTTGCCGATATTAGAGGGGGCCTTGTTGTTTACAATGTACATYTTGTGGTTTGAAATGTGCCTTGGTTTGAAATCTATRAAACTGGTTTTAATTTTTCAGACAAGCAGACCAAATACTGAAATATAAGCTTGCCTGTAGCAAGTTTAGAGTAGCCAATGAGCGTACTGATTAGAATTCAAAGCTAAGCAGCCAGTGAGAGAGAAGTGAATATATCGCGATACATGCACTTGATCTTCATCGCTGATTTGCAGACAAACAAAACAATTTTGAATTTTGTTTTTTATTGACAATGAAATATGTACAGTACAAAGGTAACAAATATAATATAGCAATTTTTTTTCTCTCAGGCCAGAAGGCAAAGATTATTCAGTCCATCGTCTTATTCTTGGAACTCACACGTAAGTGCATAACAACAAATACTCCATTTTTGTCAAAAGTAATGAGACTTTACATCAACCATTCTTGAGACAAAGGCTCGGCTACCTTTCAAGATGGCCTTAGAGACTGCAAAATGGAGTTTTGGCCTTAAACATCTCATTCACTTAGATGTTTTCACATAACTTGATAAAAAAGTTTCCACATTTGTATACAGATCTGATGAACAGAATCATGTTGTGATAGCCAGTGTACAACTACCAAATGATGACACACAGTTTGATGCCAGTCACTATGACAGTGAGAAAGGAGGTAATAATGAAATAATCATTTCACATATCAATATACWAATAACGTGCACAAGTCATTAGACTTTATGTGGGAGAAGGGGAGGTCGAAAAGGAGCTCCCAAATCCACTTATTTCTTCATTTTTCTTAAAGTCTGCCATTGTATACAAAGTCCTGCTTCAATCCAAATTTGCTMATGTAACTYCAAAGAAAACTTGTTAATTGTGCACAGGCACAAGGATGTTTAGACACTCCGTTTAATAAAATATCTTAACCAAAGGTCCTACAACTGATACAAAAAGACCTTACTTTCCAATAATACATAAATTTGATAATGCAGAGAGAATATCGTTTGATCAGCTTTTTTATTTATGCACTCTGAAGATGTTAGAATTATTTAACAAGTTTTAATATGAAGGATTATAATGTACCGCGTTTTGCAAAGTTCTGCAAAGGTCAACAATAAAAATATAAATATATAAACAAGTGTCACATTTTTTATGGAATTTGTATTGTTGCAATAATTTTATTGTACTCTTTATTATTCAGCAAATACCACTTTCAAAAAACATTGTTTACAATTTTCAAATTATGTGACATCCAATCAAAAAATAATAAACTTGTGCAGTTTATTGATTTTGAAATACTTAATATGTTTTTCAGAATTTGGTGGTTTTGGTTCAGTTAGTGGTAAAATAGACATCGAAATAAGAATCAACCATGAAGGGGAGGTAAACAGGTGGGTTTCAGACTGTGAATTTATTTTTAAGTGATATGTATTATAATATTATTGTTTATTGACAAAAGTCTGACCACTTGAATAATTTTGTTGGTTAGTAAGATTTTATAAGGTCATTGTCTTTGAAGTGAAGTATGTACACCCTTTTAATAAGTCCCGAGGTATTGTGTTRTCCTTGACGTCAAATTTATTCTTTTGAATTTCTTTTGTATTGTAAAAATTTCAAAAGAATGCTACTTTTGATGTCAAATTCAATCATATTTTGTGATGATGTCCAGTCGTACATTTGAGAAAAATGTGTTTTGTCTGAGTCGCTAAACACGGGGTTTGGGTTGATCTCTAGATAATATTACAAAATTAGTGAAAAAAACTGTTGGCATGGTAGCATGATAGTAACAGCTTTTGAGCTTTTTTAATTTCATTGTTATCTATGTAATAAAAAGAACATGCCTACCTGGAGAATTTGAACTTTGTATTGATTAAATTTTGTTATTCAACTTTACCATTTGTGAGAATAGCCTGTAATGCATTGAATTTGTTTTGTTTGTAGAGCTCGCTTTATGCCACAAAACCCATGTATAATAGCAACCAAGACTCCAACTGCTGATGTTCTTGTGTTTGATTACACTAAACATCCATCTAAGCCAGGTAGAAACATTTAATCATGTTTGTCATCTAGATAATTAAGAAATAACTAGAATATGGAACTACATAGATACTTGTTGATATATATGATCTAAATCTATTTTTTGTCTTTTTATGTATACAATGCCATTATCATTGCTTATATTACAAAAATCAGTAACTTGCCATCTCTATAAGAAGAACATTGCTATCGCTGWTAGACATTACTGTTACATCAGATAGTGCTTGTCTACCATGAATGACATGTGCATTTGTATATTTTTCTTCATTTTCAAACTCTCTTGCTTTTATCTTCCCTGTACTGGTTGAGTGTTGTCAAAGCACAATGCATCATATTCACAGCACAGGGAGACTAGGCTATTTAATAGCTAATTTTTGCTATTGGAAGTGTAACAATGGCTGACATGGGTTCTTTCAGAAACCCCTGATTCTTCATCTTATAATCATTATGACAAGTATTTCCAGAATAAATTCAAAACAAATGCATTTTATTTAATGAGTAGCTGATGCTGATAAATCAAGTGCTGCCAAATTGCAATTAGCATTGTATTTGAATTGTAAAATTTTAAACCTTTAAAAGAGTATCAACTGTGCTTAACAGTTTTAAGACAGGACATTGGATAAAAGCTGTCTTTATCTTAAAATTTAAGCACGATCTCCACTCAGAYCACATTATCCCAGAAAAGAAATGGCAGCCAGTTTTGAAGTTCTAAATGGAAATACCTTTTGATTATTTGGGAACTCATTGCAATGCCTTTGCAATAGTGTTTTATCTGAATGCTATTACATTGCAATAGAGAAATTAAATGCTCTTCTAGTCACCACTACTTTCCTGATTAGTTAAAGCTATAGATGGAGTGCCTTGGTGAAAAGGGATAGTCATAAAAGATTTCAATTAAGTCTCTACAGGAATCAGGTTATAGTGAAACAATGTGATTATACTAATTGTCTTGCTACAACAGATCCAAATGGTGAGTGTAATCCTGATCTGAGATTAAAAGGACACACAAAAGAGGGATATGGACTGTCTTGGAATCCTAATGTCAATGGACATCTACTCAGTGCATCAGATGATCATGTAGGTTGATTGCTCTGTTAACCTTCCAATTGCTAGTTATACTTTTTTTGAAATTAATAAAAAAAGTTAAATTCTCAATTATAACACTTTGAGAATTTTTTTCAAACTTTGACTAATTTGTGGAGATACTAGTGCTAGTCAGCAGATTTTGTACGACTGATCAAAAACTACAGCACTTCCATGCAGTTATCAACTACAGCACTTCTATGCAGTTATCAACTACAGCACTTCCATGCAGTTATCAACTACAGCACTTCTATGCAGTTATCAACTACAGCACTTCCATGCAGTTATCAACTACAGCACTTC